AAGTAAGACAATTTTGAAATTGCTCTCAATTCCACAATTCTGTTCATGAAATGTAATTTTTGATATGTATGGATTGCTTGAGTTCTTAAATTATGGGAAATATAAAAAAATTTGAAAACAGTAAATTTTGCTATCCAAGGGGGTGGTCAATTTTTGCTCCCCTAAAAGTGGCTTGCGCACGGAAATAACAAACGGTATTCTTTATTTGAGTTGATGTATAAAAAGTTCGCTATTTGTTGCATGTATGATAAAATTTTGGTAGGATTTTGCCGAGTACAAATCCTCCGAAAAGCCTATGAAAATGTTGCATTTTTCTCTGTTGGTGCTGTTCTTGCTTCATTATGAATGCATTTTTACTCCCATGAGAGTTCCATGGAATTTCCATGGAATTTGTGCTTTCGAGTTATTTGTGCTGAAATATTCTCGTATAATACCCCGTACACTTTGAAATGGCGATGCCACAATTTACCCCGCAGCGGAGAGCTTTTATGGTATCAGAGTTCCTCCGTAGCAACAACATAAACTTGGTTCGCCAAAGTTTCACTTCAAAGTTTTATTTACTTAAAGAATTAAGATACATAATTAACATGACTCATTTAAAATCAAAATGCAAATGAAAATTTGTGAATTCATAATGAAGAAAGAACAGCACCAACGGAGAAAAATGTTACGTTTTCTTAGGCTTTTCGGAGGATTTGTACTCGGTAAAACCCTTCCGAAATTTTTATCATAAATGCAACAAATAGCGAACTTTTCATACATGAACTCAAATAAAGAATACCGTTTGTTATTTCCGTGCGCCAGCCACTTTTAGGGGAGCAAAAGTTGACCACCCCCCTGGATAGCAAAATTTACTATTTTCAAAATTTTTCATATTTTCCATAATTTAAGAACTCAAGCAATCCATACATATCAAAAAATAAATTTCAAGAACAGAATTGTGGAATTGAGAGCAATTTCAAAATTGTCTTACTTTTTTTGATACACCCTGAGTGTATAAATATTCTAAAGTGCTACTAGCTATCATAGCTAATGATATATGACTTATTCATACCTCCCCTGAGACAAGAAACTTTCCATCTGGTGAAAATGCCAGAGAAGAAATAGTCTTCCTAAAATTAACACATTTGAGATATTGTTACCCAAACCTACAATATTCACATGTAAAAAATTGTCATATCTTGATGTCAATGATGTGCTTACTGACAGGGTTGTAACAATTAAGCATGTGATGATACCAATATGCTGCTATAATTTTGTCAAATTGCTAAAAGTAGGACCATGTTAGAGAGCATATGCATATCACTTGTCTGATTTTTAAAAGAAGTAATATCTAACAACTTGTTATACAAATCCAACAACTTATCGTCAAGCAATGCGAGTGCAACTTGATATTGGCTACACACATAAAAACTCACAACCTGTCAAAACACAATGTGTTTGTCAACAAGCTGGGAACAAGCAGTGCGAACACATCATGTTGACAAGTTGTGCTACACGTGTAGTTGGAAAAACTTGCAGCAAGTGTGCCGCAGACCTGTAAGAACTAAAAAAATGTTCAAGCTGGCTCCAGCATGCAATCCAATCCAGGAATCTGAGTAGCTACAGCTATCAAACATACTTAGATGAATTAATTATGTGACTTTGACCATGACCAGTCGAGCTGATAAAAACAATCACACACCTGAAAATGAGGTAATTCAAAAATTAATAACACTTTTTTTCTTGGACAAGTAAAATTATCAGACATGAGAGGGAGTAAAATGCCAAAGAAGAACACACTAGTGTGGCTTAAATATTGTCATTTTGATCACTCAATCTTGAACAATGGCACTTTTGTTCAGGGCATTCAATAGAAGCCGGTGTCCGAAGATTTTCGCCATCTATAGGGTAGACAATCACCAGTAATTATTTCTCCAAATTATAAACCAAAATATTTCCTTCTTATCCCAAAGAAATATCAAGAGAAAGGTTTATTGCTTCAATAACATAAATTTTAAACAATATTCTTCACTAAATATTTGATGACAAAATCTACAAAACTACTGCCCAAAAATGGTTGGAAATGTCCAAAGTTCAAAATCTTCATGGGGAGACAATATCAGCCTGTAAAGTTTTGGCTTTGGACAAAAATTAATTTCCTGTGCAAACATTCTTGCAATTATGAAAATCAGCTCAAAATTTTGCAAATTGGAAGAATCTGCACAAAATGCTTCTGTGAACCAAGGGCCAAGCAGATTTCTGATCTTCCCATTTGACAATTCCTTGGGTCTGCCATAGATTTTCTACGAAAATGTCTGAGATTTCTGTGCATTTTTCGCAAGAAAGAAATATTTCCTGAGCAAAATAATACTTTTTAGTCTGGGAGAAATGTCTGCAAACCTCGCTTGGTTAGGTACCACATAACTGGCAAGCCGCCTACTCTTTCAAAAAGCATTGGCTCCAAATTCTTTATCAGAACTCTGATTGTTAATATGTTAGCCTAGCTGAGCTCATTATCTACCTAGAAATTTCAAGTTTGACTGCTGTTTATTATCAAAGTCAATCATTCAAGAAAAATCCCTTGTACTTAATATCCCAAACAAACAATGACTATACCTAAACACATTTGACAGAGTGAAATAGGAATTTAATATGTTTACATAACAACTCCCAAGTGACTATATAGAAATTTTAAGAACACTATGAAAAGCCCATTTGACAATTTGATAATGATCTCAAACTTTAACTAGAATGCTAACTGTTTTTAAATGAGGGGGATTGATTATTATAAACAATAAAACAAAGACAATAAGTCAACACAGTTTATATGCTTTGAATATATGTACAAATGTTTTGTACAAAATACATATAAAGTTATAATGAAATCATATAAATAGCAAAAGATTATACTTTTTGCCTTTATGCTGTGTGGAAATCCAGAATATATATTTTTAAGTTCTCTTTTATACAAATGCTGAAAAAACCACAAGTAATAAATTATGTAGACAAGCAAAACAAACCACACTTGATTGTAACAGTACAAGACTGACATGAACACAAACCCTATAGATTTAACACAGGAAAGCTAGATTTTGAACTGTTTTATATAATGAATATGCCTTGTTTTGAACGGCGAGGGGTAAATTAGAAAGGGCAAAGGGTCAAATGAAATCTGAAAACGGAATATAATAGAACGCATGGTTCCTCGTTCAGCCTTCAAAATAGTTAAACTTAAAACAACTCAACCGAGAAAAAATACAGAATTAAACCATTAGGTATATTTAGCAACAAAAAAAACACAATATTCCTAACAAAATAGTCTTTTATAAAACAGGCAAACATCTTTAAAAGCAATATATAAAGTGCAGACTGCTAGTTTCCGATTTGGCAAAATTCTGGGTCTCGTTCAAGAAGTATTATGGCTTACAATTTCTTCCCATACTTACCCGGCTGGAAATGCAATTTCTCCAGTGACAGGGTTGCATGCCAGGCCAGAATTTCCTTTCAAAGTGACTCCAAGGACTTTTTCTAACACAATCTACAAATACAATCAAAATCGGCGCCAAATTTAGCTCGTATCAAGCCTTGGTATCAAGCAGCGAACTTTGGAAATTGACACCAAATAAAGGTTGTAGCATGTCGGATATCGATTGTGTTCCGACCGAAAACACAGTGGAAATTTTCAACTAACCCGTTCCGTCAGAGGTCTTAAATCTCTCAGACTACTTCCTTTCTTAACTAGCTTTCTTGTAGGTGTCAATCTGCCTGTACATCTTCTTGAAGAGAACATTTTCACTCGAAATTCAACACCTGGTCACTATTGTCGAGTTCATGTTGGTTCGACTTTGCATATTTCAAAACATTTCGAGTTCGGCCGGCGAATCGTCGCGGGAGACTTCCTCTTTCACGCTTCCGGCATTGAGACCCGGCTTCCGGTTAATGAAAATTTACATTATTAACTTATTAACTAATTTTATTATTGATTTTATCAGTTCTAAACTGTTCTCCCTAGAGGTCCAGTAAGGATCATCTCTTATTGATCCAGTGTAACTACAGGAGGAAACCTAAACTAAACTAACTTTATTTATACTGGATAGCTCTATATCAGTTCTAAATTGTTCTTCCTAAAGGTGCAGTACGTAAGGATCATCTCGTATTGATCCAGTGTTACTACATGAGGAAACCTAAACTAAACTAACTTTATTTATACTGGATATAGCTCTATCAGTTCTAACAGTTGAACTATAGGCTGTCTGCCAGAGATCGAACCCTATCAGTTTTAAACTGTTCTTCCTGGAGGTCTAGTTACTAATTGAACCACCTTTTACTGGTCAAGTGTTACCACACCACAAAACCAGATTGACAAGAGAGAACCAATCGTGTTTGGTAGAGTCAAACTTACTCTTCTTGCAACTGACGTGAGATCGCAACCACAAACTTCATGCAGGAATTGAACCTGTGATTGAACCCACTCATAGAGATGAAACCCACATGCATTGTTACCACTATGCAACAATACCGACCCAAGCAAATATTGATATATTTAATAAGGATCAAAAATCTTCACTACAGTGCTCAACACTGGCCAGTTTTCATATAATAATAAAAGAAATTACATCAAAATTCACAAAAATTAGAATATCTAAGTCTTTGCCCTAAACATCTTCTTCCCAAGATAGACTGTCTCATCGTATCCAGAGTTTTAAACGGAGAGCATCAACTCCATTTAAGTAATATTTGAAAAGACGCTTGTCACGGACAAAACCAAGGTTCTCGTAAAGTCGTAATGCACCAACATTTGTTATTTCAGTCTCTAGTACAACCTGGAATGAAAACGATATTCTAATTAATAATTAATACTTTAAATACTAATTAATTCATCTTAAAGATGATGTCCACTCCTGTGCACATGCGCGAACTTTGTTTACGTTTTGAACTACTATATTTGTAAAATATGATATACTAACTGAACATTTAACACTTTTCTGGTTCGCTACACTTGTTAATGGATATAAACTGTACGTTTCAATTCAAAAAAGTTCGAAAGATGCAAAATTTGGGCAATGTTTATATCTGGGGGTCCCCCTTTGTTATGAGCAGAACTGATGCGCAGAACGTAGTGGACATCATCTTTAAATTGGGGTCAATTTTCATTAACATAAAAATAAAGAATCCTTACTTCGTCACATCCTTGTTCTATCATCATTTTTATAGCTTTTATAACTAAATTACTTCCTAAAACATAAAGATTTTTATTAAGCATTATCATGCACCATTATCATACAATTCATTTCATTATATTCAGAATTGACAAATATTTGAATTAACCCATTGAGGGGCAGCACTCTCCCCCTGACAAGTAAAATCATCTGGTGTTAGACAGAGCAAAATAATAAAGTAGGGTGCATCTGGGAAAATTGCCACTTAAAGGGTTAACAGGGTGCATGGGCAGATAGTCTAGCTCATTGAGTCAGAGTGGCAGCACTCTCCCCCCGATGAGTAAAATCGTCTGGCATTAGACGGAGTAAAATAATAAAGTAGGGCACATCTGGGTGCGTTGCCACTTAAAGGGTTAAAAGATGTAGGTTTACACATTATTTACAACATGAGCAGAAATGTTTTATCAGATATAATTACAGTAACTAACTTGAAGGAATACCTCTGAACAATTCCTTAAAATTTTGAAAATTTCTTTAAAAAGTTCCTAACTTCCTGTTTCATTGACCAATCAAATTTTATATTTTATTTTTGAGCAATCTGATTGGTCAATGAAACAGGAAGTTAGGAACTTTTTAAGAAACTTATCAAATTGTTGAGGAATTGTTCAGAGGAACTCCTCGAAGTTAGGAAATGAACTGGTCAACATTTTTCGGAACCCTTCTATTGGCACGACTGTAATAACATGATTTTTTTATAAAACCACCGACAAGTTAATGATTTCCTTTGTCTTTTCCTCATCAATTACTAATTATTAGTTTCTTAAATTGCAAATATATATACAAAACATATAATTTTTCATGTATTGGTTTTTCCTACCTATTTGATGTCTTCTGTATAAATTATCAACAGCTAACATCGCTATATAACCTCTCCGGGCCATCTTTTTATGCAAATCAAGTTTACAAACTATAGCACCAATACACGCTTCCCCACAATATGCCTGAAATTCAAGTAAACACACGTCATAAGCTGGGGCTTCTGATTATATCTTATATCCACATGTATGTACATTTGCACCATGGAAATGTGAATTAACATTGTCATAGTTCCAATCCCTTGCTTCTTTAAGGGGGGGGGAGGATGAACTGTTTCTTTCAAGACAAAAAAGTGGGAGATAAAATTATAAACTGTCTGTACCAGTGTAGGTAGGGCATAACAAATACCTGTGGTTCCAGTTTCATATCGCGAAAAAAATAGGGTCGGTAGGTCGGAAATAATTTTTTTTGAATATTTTTTTCATGTTTTTTTTCAATAATTAGTGTGACAACAGCACACAACCACCCAGAGAAAATAGGGTCGCATGGTCAATCACGTTGAAAAAATAATAGGGTCGGCAGAAAAAAATAGGGTCAGTCGGGAAGCGGAACCACAGGTATTTTTTTTACGCCTAGTGGCAATAATATGAACAAGCTTTCGTTGATAGGGATGCGACTACCTGAAAAATATAAGGAGAATTTCGACATTTCGAGCAAAAGCCGTCACAGTTACTCCGGACAAAAGGCCTTTGCTCAAACGTTGAAATTCTCCTTATATTTTCAGGCAGTTGCATCCCTACCAACGAAAGCTTGTGGAGAAAAAATAGGCACTGAAAAGGGTGGATTACGCGAGCATAAGAATCAGAGGGATCAAACATATTGATTTCTTACAGTATGTACTATCGTTGCTACAACACAACATAAGCGTAAACATGAGAATGTCAAAATCTTGCATTCTTTTCCTTATGCTTTTGCAGAAATTTTACACTTTACCGTACCGGAGTAATCACTGAATACATATGCCATCAAAACATGCCAATAAAAGAACAGAAAAACCGTCAGAACACATGCCATCAAATACTTGCGGTATGGTAAAGTGTAAATCGTATGGTAAAGTATCTTGCATTGTAGTGAGGACATACTGAAAACACCAGAAGCATAAGAACATCAAAGCGTTCTGCTTGCTTGTGCTTATGTTGTAGCGAGGACCAGGCTTTACTGTCACTGACTGGCCGACCGCTCACTCTCATACATTCAGGTAAGATAATTTGGAAATGATAGAGCTATCAAGTATTAAAGTTAGCTTACTTACCAGAAACGATAGTTTGGGCCAATTATGAATGAAATATCTGTATGTATAGATTGAGTATGGTTCTGAAAGGTCTTTAGTTATTAACGACATTATATCCTTCATCTGTGACTCAGATTCATAGTTCACATAATTAATGGTGACCTTTCCGTGACCTTCAACCTCAATCTCTTGCGTATCGGCATGTTCGTTAAATTCCACCCGCTTAACGGGGGCGGGTTCCGGGGTATAACCCAAAGGTATCAACTGCGTATGATGAGTGTGCCCGCAGTTGCCATCTCTGCACACTGAGTTTACAGGTATCGACGTAGTTTCTGGCAAATTGACAACTGATGTTGCTCCTTGTGTGTCAGAATGGTTACTTTCTGCCCTCAAAACTAAATCTTTTGAAATTCCTTCAGTAATATACTCAATGTGTTCTTCATTGTTTGTAAAACTAGGTTCACATCCTGTAGATCCATCCATTTAAATAAAATATTTAACCAACAGTAAAGAATGTAAACAAACAGGTCTTCAAAAAGAATGTTTCAAATGTTAATACTGAGCGCCCATGTGACGACTTGGTTTCCGTTGCTTTAGCCAAAATAATTTCCAATTTGCAAACTTCGACTCATGTTTCACTTATTTCATAAAGATATAGCTTCATTCTCGATACAGTTTCGCAAAAAAATGCTCCACTTTTCTCAAAAACAACAGAAAATCTGCAAACAAAAAAATTCTTTTCCTTGTGCATCAAAAATTGAATTTGCAAAAATTTTACGAACGTTCAACGAAGTCACGACGGTCATTGCCGAACAGTAACCGTTCGAATTCCGAGCGCTATTATTTATTTATTTTTGTTTATTTATATCGATTTATATTATTTACACATGCATATATATAAAACATAAACAATAAGTTGTTGTTTTGATTCGTTTTATTGCCTTCATTGGCTTTTATATATTACTTATTGTCTTAATACTGAAGTATTCAATGTGATTTATTATGTTAATTAATATTAGTAAATGTTCGACATTAAAATAATTAAAAATAATTAAAATTATATTAATCCATGCTTTTAAAAAAACAGCAAAACACGATAGAAATTTTAAGAAAACTCGAAATAAAAAGATACTATATATAAAATAGGCATCACTGTAAACTTTCCAAACCCCAAAATAGAAATTAAACTAATTTCTCATTATCTCTGAAAAATTTACCAAAAAATTATGCAATACAATCCTGCATGCCTGAAACTTGCCTGAAATTAAGGCTGAAAGATTAAAAATCCTTGAAGTTGATCCACGTGCATAAAAAATTTCAAATATTTTGGAAGATGTTTCATAGCAGCAGTCACAGAACGCATTGGATATTTTCAAACTTGGAAGAAATTGACAAAATTAGAGAAAAATGCATTGGAAACTATGCAACAAAATGCAGTGTTTCCCAAGCCAACGATTTGGTCACAATAAACGAGCACAAAGTTCTGTGCAAATACTATGAAAAAATATTGTTTCATTTATGTATGAAGTTCCAACCACCTTTGCCATATTCTGTTACATTCACTGCCTTCCTGTATTTCAAGAGAATTTATTTACAGACGAGCATTATGGAGCACTCGCCACAAGACATGATGTCCGTATGTTTGTACATGGCCTGCAAAGTGGAAGAATACAACGTATCCGTTGACAAGTTTATAATGATTTATCCAGAGGCTGACAGAATCCGGACTGCTGATGTCATTTTGGGTAACGAGATGGGACTGATGAAGTTGTTAAATTATCAGCTAATCGTGCACAGTCCTAAACGAGCCTTGGAGGGTTTCTTTATCGACATTAAGACACGGTTTCAACAGAAGGAAGATTTTGACAAATGCCGAGAGGTTTCTAACGAGTTCCTTAATGCAGTCCTGTTCTCGGATGTTGTATTTCTGTACACGCCATCCCAGATTGCACTTGCGGCATTGTTCGCGGCATCGAAAGAAATTGTCCGTACTTACATTGTCTCCGTCCTAGCACCTGCCGAGCAGGGTCAAACATTATTTGGCAAAATTGAGGATATTATTAAACTTATTAACAGCAAGATTATTTGCGAGGACAGCCATGTTAAAGAGATTCAAGCAAAGTTAAGTAAATTACCAATTCCAGACAAAAACAAACCCAAAAAGCGGAAAATAGGTAACGGCGGTGACGAAGAATCGATTAAGCGTCAAAAATCTTCGGACTCTGTTGATAATGAAACAGTAACGGATGATATTAATGATGAGTAGTTGTGATGTTGTTGGAACTTTAAACTTATGATGTTTTTCAAATTGTTATTAAGAGATTATTAATAAATAAAGTTGTTAGTTAAATATATTGTTATTTATACTGGATAGCTCTATCAGTTCTAAACCGTTCTTCCTAGAGGTCCAGTAAAGATCTCCAAGACGGCGCACATGGTGCCTTGGTCACCACGCTTGTCTTTCAAGCTGGGAGACGTGGGTTCAATCCTTGGTAGGACTTCTACTGAAGGTCTTAAAATAACCGAGGAGAAAGAGCTCCCTTGACATTGACATCAGTAAATGGTTAGACTTTCGCATCTTCTCGGATAAGGACATTAAAATCGTAGGTACTTCGGATCCCCTATCAATTGGGGAAATCCCCTCACAATTGAGTGAGAAACTTGATAAACTAATAAACTAAAATATTTGGAAAAAAACAAAAATTATAATCAGGCAACTGTATATTGCAAGATTCAAACTCATTTGTGAAAATACCATATTTTTATTTTTATCTGCGACTGTTCATCACTAGACGCAAACGACGGTGCGGTATTACTCCAGTTACGAATATAGTTCACTGGCCGCCCGCTGATTATGTCATTGCGCAAGAATTCGGGTTGTCAGCATCGTCAGGCTAATATAACATTGCATATTGATTATGTTAGTCATGTTACGCAAAAATACTAAAGGAAGTTATTTACACACTTTCACACGCAAATTTGAAGCCAAATACCTTTAAAGATTCCTATTTTGATGCCAGCAAAACGTTTTAGATGTTGATGGTTCATTCATAACTAAAGTAAGTCGATATTGATTTATTTTTTCCCGATCTCGTCATTTCGAGTGCATTCTAACTGTATTTTGGAACAAGTATTAAGTGTCAGACGGCTTACTGGCATCCGTCGGTCAACCGATGTGATGTCTTGTGACTTGCTGTTCAACAGCACGATTTGTGAATGAATATGATTTTTGTACTACATTAATGATAGTTAGAGTATTATTAGGATTATTATATGTGGCACGTTTATAAATGTAATAGGATATTTAGTTATTTACACGCTGATGACGTCAGATCACAGGATTAATAATTTCTTCGAATTTGTGTGAATTTGAATAACAAAACATTAAGCTGTAATACTCCCTAATGTGTCCTACTTTGTTATCTTAGGGGCTGTTTATACTAAAGCCGGGCTGGCCTGCTTAGCGGGATGGCCCGGTCTTGCTGAGTGGGCCAGCCTGGCTTCTATATAAACAGTCCTGTACTCTATCATTACTGTTAGGCAATTTAACTTGTCAAAATGTAAATCGATCAGAACTTGTCAATTTATCTAGCTTGTAAAGTGTTGGGTATTGTTGAGTTTAGCATTTTTACACATTGTTACACTCAATGAATGTGTGCTACGGTTTGTTAGTGAACCCTTGTGCAGAATAGACCACACTATTTCAAATGGTTCCCGTGAGTGGATAATTACATGTAACTATGTCAAGCGTTCCTCTTTTGAGTTTCTAAATTGATTGCAATTTTTCTCATTACCTTTGCAATTTAAAAAACTTCCTTGCAAATCCCTTGAGGGAACTTGCAATGTTGCTAAAAGCCGATATTTAACTTTTCCTTAGTTCCTGTTAGAAGTTCTTAACTTCCTGTTACAAGTTCCTAACTTCAGGAAGTTAGTTCTGCATGTTGCAATTGGCTAACAAAAATAATCCACCAATGACAATGCTCAGAACAGAACAGAACAGAACAGGAAGTTAGGAAATTAAAACAGGAAGTTAGCAAAAATTTTAAATGTACTTTTTTTGCATTGGAATGTTGCAACAGCCGATAGGAACATTGCAAATTCCTCAAGGGATTTGCAAAGAGTTTTTCAAATTTGCAAAGCTAATAAGGAAAATTCCAAATGAGTTAGGAAGTCAAAAGAGGAAGGCTTCATGTAGTTTACCTGTAACACTTATAAATCTACATTCACACCTAGGGCAAATCTACATTCACACCTATGAATTAGGAACCATACTCAAATGCAGGTTCTCACGGAACCAGATTAATTGCGGGATGAAAAGTGCCCGCACAGAACCGGATGAATTGTAGTCCCGGAAGTATTTATGTATGTGTGCACGGATGTTCTCAATCCCAATCCTCTACAGTGCAAAATGGTCTTGAAAGAGACTGGTTCTGCTGTTCACGTGAGGCCATCTGATTTAGGAGCAATTCTTGTGCAAAACAAGACCCACTTTTATTTGGTCTCGAATTTGTACAGTTAGCTGTGCTGGAATTTGTCCGGTTTTATACGCCCCGTGTGAATGCAAGGTGAAACCGAACGAATGTGAGCATGGTTCCGAATTCATTCGGCCCATTGAGATACAAGAACAGGGGCGTAGGAAGCATAAAAAAGTTGGAGGGGCCGTATACAGAGATGCAATTGCATAAAGCACTGGCCCCAGTGAATGGTATTTTTCTGCCAAATGTACCCACACAAATACACTATGGCTTATTATGTAAACCTTTATAGATATGGTGGATATTAATGTCATTCAGGAAGAATGCTTCCTAGATGAAATCCTAACTGAGCTTCCCAACCGAGTGGCAAAGCCGACCCCAGGTGTCAAAGGAAAAAACCTGAAAAAATTGTTCCACCAATTCAGTGACTCGTTGAAAGACATCCAGCTGCAGTATACCTGTGTCGATGTCTCGAGTGTTGCTTTCGCTTTCGGAACAAATGTTGGAAATGCTTATGTCTACCAACGGAAACAAAAAAAGATTTTACAAATATCTTCAGAGGTTGTGATAAGTGAATGAAATTATGTTAAATATAAACATAGGAAAGATCATCCGAGCTTTTATATGCATTGAAATTGTGCTTTCCCAACTTGACAGCCCCATAATGGTGGAACATTAGCCCAGTTTGCTAGGAAGAACAGTTTAGAACTGATAGATCTATCCAGTATAAATAAAGTTAGTTTAGTTTTCCTCCTGTAGTAACACTGGATCAATAAGATATGATCCTTACTGAACCTCAAGGAAGAACAGTTTAGAACTGATTGAGCTATCCAGTATAAGTAAAGTTAATTTAGTTTAGGTTTCCTCCTGTAGTAACACTGGATCAATAAGAGATGATCCTTACTGGACCTCTAGGAAGAACAGTTTAGAACTGATAGAACTATCCAGTATAAATAAAGTTAGTTTAGTTTAGGTTTCCTCCTGTAGTAACACTGGATCAATAAGAGATGATCTTTACTGGACCTCCAGGGAGAACAGTTTAGAACTGATAGAGCTATCCAGTATAAACAAAATTAGTTTAATTTAGGCTTAACGTGTCAGGAGAGACAGTATCCATCTTTATTTTTTGTGCTAGACAAAATATGTTCCAGCAACATGTATTAGGCTTGCTGCTGGATGTACTACAGTCGCATTTGGACACGAATGTGGAACTTTCGCTGTTGGCTTGGTGGATCCACCCATACACAAAGTAAGAACTCCGCCCTCGTAATCAAATTATGCCCCGGGATTCAGACTTATTCAGTTTGGGTCGTTGCCTCAATGGGGCTACCAGCGGTGACAAGCAAATTACTTTTTATAAAGAGAAAATGCTCATTAAGAATAATATTTTTTTTCAAAACCTCGTCAAATACGTAAGAAATCCTATGATATTGGTACACCTTACACGTCTTTGGCCAGAAAGCTACTATTTATCGTCTATGCCAATTATTTTCCAAACGAAAGTTCAGTGGTGTGAAGTGGAATGCTGTAAGTAACTTCGTTACAAGGAACGAAACTACAAGTAATCGTTGCGTTTTGAAAATAGGTAACTGTACTAGTTACATTTTCGCTTAATAAAATAAAATGAAACGATATATATAACGCGTTATTTTTCTGACGTATTTTCGTGACATTTTCACGTTAAAATATAGTATACTTGCTATTTTTGTTTATACTATCAACTTTCATTATTTTAATGTGGTCGACAAACTTATTCACTGCACAATAACTCCCCTGGCTATTTGGCAGCTTAATTTGTATTTTAAAATGGGTTACCTTATATACTTTACAGTAATTTACTTGAACGCACTGTCAATGTACAGTATACAGTAATTATTAAAACCTGCAGATGTCACTTTAAACAACTTAGAAAAAATGGAACGTAACTTTTTAACAACTGCAGTTACAAAAATCGCGAAATAACTTTGCAATGGTAACATTACATTTTATATGTGGTAACTTTTACGGCTAACTAGTTCATTTTTTAAGCATCTGAAGTCCTGTGACTAGTTCCCAAAAATAAGTAACCTTTTAAGGCATTGTGTATGTGATATTTTCAAAACCATATATGTGAATATTTTCCGTCTAGTCATTTGACTCGCTAACAGCGGAGGATATTCACCATTCGAGTATCACGTGTTTGGAATGGTCTAATGATGGTTTAATTCTGTATGCTGGTGATAGTCATGGTAAAATATCGATGTCTGTCGTCAAAATTTCTGAGGTAAAATATTGTGAGACAGTAGCACTGGGCACTGTTTGAGCTGATTTCTACTTCACACACAAAAATTTCAACAAGTTTTGTTCGCACTGCTTGTCCCAAGTTGTCAACAAGTATGGAACAACTTCTTAACAGCGTTTTTTTCTGTGTTAGTGTAATGTACTCAGGTGAATATGATGCTTGTGATGTTAACAGTTTTAACAACCTTGTTGATATTATCAGACTTGTTGCAAGGTTGTTCCAACAAGTTCCGTACGGTCATGATATAACAATATTGTTACAACCTTGTGTCGTCAACCTTGTACCATTCCTGCAAAATCATGACTGTATCAGACTCGTTAGAACAACCTTGTAACAAGTCTGATAATGCCATCAAGCTTGTTACAAGTTGTTAACAGCTTGTTTCAAACTTTGTTACAACAACTGGGAACAAGCAGTGCGAACACAACTTGTGGACAGCTTGTGAACAGATTTGTAACAACTTGTTTGCAGACTTGTAACAACTTGTGCGAACTAGCTTGAGGTATCTCTTATTCTCATCGTTTCATTCTGTTCAGGGGATTTTACAAACAGCGATAATAGTAACAGAGGATGGTAGTGTAGTGCAGTTATGTTATGGAGAAGACGCACTACTTATTTCAACCATAAAGCGAACTGTCCTCTGGCCTTTTCATAATGAAACACTTGTTCAAGTTGGAGAAAAAGAACGAAAAACGTAAGAATCCACTCAATCCAGTAAATAGATTTTTCCATTGGGCTGATGAACTTTGATACCCAATTCACATTTTCAGATATTAAACTCACGTTTCAATTATATCCAGTATGTGAGTGAATTGATAACTAACATGCCTAGTTACCACTGTTCTGATGATGTAAGCATAGAATGGAACAAAGGTAACCAAGCATTTAAATTATACATGTGAGTGAATTGATAACTCACATGCGTACAGTGGTTACCAATGTTCTGATAATGTGAGCATAGAATGGAACAAAGGTTAACACTCATTTAAATTATATATGTGAGTGAATTGATAACTCACATGCCTAGTTACCACTGTTCTGATAATGTAAGCATAGAATGGAACAAAGGTAACCAAATATTTAAATTTCACATGTGAGTGAATTCGGTGCCAGCGGGCTTATATCTGATTAGATCCATGGCTTTCAATATGTACAAATCAAGTATAAAATATATTTTCTATTTTTTTCCCTGCAGATCGGGCGGTTTTGGCAGTTGCTTCATTCCCGACACGCGTCGCGAGCCCACAAAGAAACTCTACGCTGCGCGACCGGGCCTGCGCGTGTGGACAGCGGACGAAAGCGGGAAGGTCTCGTCAACTTCCGTTTTCAAATCGTTACTCGCCGACAAACCGCCGGTCATACGAACATTGAGCGGAAACGATACCAAATTTAACAGCAGCGGTCAGTTTGGCCAACTCCTGACATTCTACAATCAATATGTTATAACGTGGGACGCAAACCATATTTGGGTACTTGACCTTGACCTCGGCAACGTCATCGGTTGCCATAGCAACTTGGGGAAAATCCGTGACGTAGCAGTTTGCGGGCATGAGGTGTTCGTCTTGGTGAACCAGCGAGAGAGGTTTTTAAGAAGATTCATTCTGACTATCGAGCGAGTATTGGATTCGTCGTGTTTAGACGCGGTGATAGCTGGCAGTGAGGATGCTGGCGAGGCCGAGACCGAAGAAGGCGCTGAGAAGTCTGGGTTTAGTTTAACTTCGGCGTTAATGAATGTCCCCTTTATGGCGTTAGAGGTATTGCGCCTTCTTGTGACACTGGCCTGCACACGTAAAAATCTCGCGTCGTGTAGCAAGTCTGCCAACAAGCCGTCAACAAGTTGTGTTCGCACTGCTTGTCCCAAGTTGTCAACAAGTTTGGAACAAGCTGTCAACAACTTGTAACAAGCTTGATGATCTTATCAGACTTGTCACAAGGTTGTTCTGACAAGTCTTATACAATCATGATATAATAAGAATGTTGTAAGGTTGACGACACAAGGTTGTAACAATATTGCTATATCATGACTGTATCGGTTTGTTGGAACAACCTTGCAACAAGTCTGATAATATCAACAAGGTTGTTACAAGATGTTAACAGCTTGTTCCAAACTTGTTGACAACTTGGGACAAGCAGTGCGAAGACAACTTGTTGGCGGACTTGCTACAAAGAAGTGAGATTTTTACGTGTGCAGTCATGACAGATGACTTTTCTTCGCCCAGGTTCTTCCGTTTATGTAACCAGCCCTTAGCACTCTCTTTACTTTCTTTTTTATTTTTCTATTTTCTAAGTGAATGAAGTCTAATTTAAAAGTGATAAACCCGACCATCTTTCCCTTTTCACAGAGTGATGAAAACAAAGACAGTGGGCCAGAGATAACTAGCGAGTTAGGCACAGTGGAGGTTGGTGGACCAGCTAAAAGCGATATATTTGACAAGATCAATGCAATTCCATTGGATGAAGGACCAGGTGACATTGTGTTCACTGTGGCCAAGAAAAAAAAGAAGAAGAAGAAACAAAAACAGAGTACATGTAGGTTGTTTTTGAGTCGAGATTGGAAGAGGCAATCTGTCCCTTGGTATTTGGACACATTCCATCTATTCTTTCTTCAGTTTACCCGTCCTTTGTTCCCATTTATCTACAGTTCCATCTGATAAACCAGTTTCATTAATTTCTATCATTCATTCATCTCTTATCACAAGTTCATACCATCTCAACCTTGTTTCTCTCATCTTCTCTGCAATGTCTACCACCCACATCTTCTTCTGATCTCTTCATTTTATAATGTCTCTGACCAGCTCTCCCTCATCTCTTCTTATTACGTGTCCATATCATCTCACTTTGCTTCCCTCATCTTCTCTGCAATGTCTACCACCCCACAATCTATGTCTACCGGGCCTATCTGTGTGTTTGTGTTCTCTCTTATCACATGTTCATACCATCTCAACCTTGTTTCTCTCATCTTCTCTGCAATGTCTACCACCCACATCTTCTTCTGATCTCTTCATTCCATAATGTCTCTGACCAGCTCTCCTTCATCTCTTCTTATTACGTGTCCATACCATCTCACTTTGCTTCCCTCATCTTCTCTGCAATGTCTACCACCCCACAATCTATGTCTACCGGGCCTATCTGTGTGTTTGTGTGACTGTTTGTTTGCCCGTCTATTTGCCATATCTCTGTTTTCAAAAGCCAGAACTCCCTTTTCAAATGCCAAAACTCCATTTTCAAATGCCAAAACTCCATTTTCAAATGCCAGAACTCCGTTTTCAGATGCCAAAACTCCGTTTTCAGATGCCAAAACTCCGTTTTCAAATGCCAGAATTCTGTTTCCAAATGCCAGCACTACTTTTTCAGATGCCAAAACGCCGTTTTTAAATGCCATAACTCCGTTTCGAAATGCCAGAACTCAGTTTTCAGATCTCTCACCTTCTCTGCAATGTCTACCTCCTCACATCTTCTTCTGATCTCAACATTTTCCTGTTTTCTCGACAATAGCATCTCTGCAAGTTGAAGAGACATCGAGTGAAAGTCGAGCTAAGATTGAACTCTCAGAAGAACCCGAGTCCCCTGACGTTTCAACACCACATACTGAAGCAATAACGACCACAGCAGGTAAAACACTGTAACTTTAAGTATGTTGTATTCAAATAGACTGTACATGTACATGTGACCGAGACGAAATTATAATCAGACAATAGCAAGCTGCAGAAATTGAATCCCATCCCAGAGGTGAAGCCTCCATATACCAGTGCAACCCTCCGTGAAATGATTGTAATTAAGAATTGTGTTTATTGAGTTTCTCACTCATGGGTGAGCGGATTTCCCAACAGGCTATTGCCCAATTGATAGGGGATCCGAGGTACTTACGATTTAACGTCCTTATCCGAGAAGACGCGAAAGTCTAACCATTTACTGATGTCAATGTAAAGGTAGCTCTTTCTCCTCAATTATTTTAAGACCTTGAGTGGAGGTTCGACCAAGGATTGAACCCGGGGCTCCCAGCTTCAAAGGCAAACGGTCGTGACCATGATACCACAAATGCTGGTTTTTAAACTCAATAATATCTCAATAACTCCTTTTGTTTCAGCAGAAGAGACAACAAGCAACGACATGGAACCTCGTTCAACTCTTGAGACAGCGTTACCGAATACCAGCAAATCTCACGAAGAAGTGCCAGATACCGCCGAAGACCCAGAAGCCGCAACCTTAGCTGTCATCCTCGCTAAAAACACTCCTCAGAGAGACACACACGATGAAGCAACAGACAATGTAACAAATGAAACGAAGACTGAAGAAAAACAGGGGTTAGAAACGGTTCAAATATCTGTGGCAGCGAACGATTCGTCCGATAAAACAGCTTCGTCGTTACCAGAGACTAATACACGTGCCAAGGACAATATTCTGGAGCAAGAAGCAACGGGTACTGAAGCTAAGATTGAAACGGGAACTTCGACAACAGAACAAACCTCTGCACCTCAGGAAACTACAACAGATGATGAACAGAAAAAGAATACCCAGGCAACTCTGGAAACCCCAGCCAAAGAGCGTGAGATTCAAAACGTGGCTGATCCATCCACCGACGTCTCTTCAACTTCCCGACAAGATTCCTCAGACTCTACCGATGTATACCGAAACTCTTCCGATCTCCTCCGATTGGATAGCCACGAAGACGACCAGCCCAAAAGCCCAGAGACGAGCACAGACCCGATGGCGTCCAAACCACTCCCGAAAGAAGACCACGTCCCATTACATGCGGATACTTGGTCAGGACGTTCTCTTCCAACCAGTCAAACAATAGAACATCTTGCAATATCTCAGAAATACATATTCTGTATAGACAGTCGGAGCAGAGTATATTTCTCTGATCCTAACACAGCCTCGTGTAGCGGATGGGAAAAGGCTGATTTCAAAGCGAAGCAAATTTATGTGAATTCACCTTGTGATTTTATTTCGTATATCGATCACGGGAAGGCATTTGTAAGAGGGAATATAAGCGATACAAACCCGGTCGGCAATACGTCGTTTCAAATTCTGGACGAAGTATCTCTACTTACAACTTGTTCCACTTGTACTTGGGCGCTAACTGCCGATGGTACTTTGAGACGGGTAAACACGGCTGCATTTGCAAAGCTCAAGTGTGACGCGAGGTCCAGTTCAAGCTGGAAGATTGAAGATTCCAAGGACAGTCTTGCTCAGATTGTGTGTTATGAAAATGTTCTGTGGGGTCGCACTCATGATGAAACATTGCTGGTTTATCCAGGTAAATATGTGAGCATAATACCCTCTGCTATATACCAGGGACACATATTTTATTGTTGTTTATTGCGTTTCTCACTCTTTGGTGAGCGGATTTTCCGACAGGCTTGTTGCCCAATTCATAGGCGATCCAAGGTACGTACGATTTAACGTCCTTATCCGTGAAGACGCGAAAGTCTAACCATTTACTGATGTCAATGAAAAGGTAGCTCTTTCTCCTCAATTATTTTAAGACTTTGAGTAGAGGTCCGACCAAGGATTGAATCCGAGTCTCCCAACTTGAAAGACAAGCATGGTGACCACGGCACCACAATTTAGAGCTGTTCTGTTAAGTAAGAGCCATTGTCTGTAGAATTTATATGATAACCAAGAATCCGGCACAGTAAATGTTGTAGAAACATTTAAGAATTTTCGATGTTTCCTGGATTGTTTGCCAAGCCTTGAAAACGTTGTTGTGAATACAAACTTTGCTTCACCAAAAATATTCCTTGACAAATTTAGAAAAATATTTCGTTTGCGAAACGTGTTTCCTAATTTTCCACCTTCGCGAAACCTGTACGGATAGCAATCATGTGTATTAATACTAAATACCGTTTCTCTATTCGATATAGGACGCACCAGTGGCAAAAAGACAACATGGAAAGACGAAGGTTAGTTCGTTAGTGTAGATAAATTGCATTTACGAATTGAACTAAATTTACTTTTTACTGTATCGCTTTGTCATATCTTAACTGTTTTCCCTGGAGGTGAAGTAAGGAACATCCTTTGTTGCTACACACATAAAAATCTCACAACTTGTCAACAAGATGTGTTCGCAACAGGCTTGTCAACATATTGTAACAATGTTGTTATTTTATCAAGTTGCTACAAGGTTGTCACTCACAACTTGTAACAAGTCTGTTGAGCTCAACAACCTTGTAGCAAGTTGTCAACAAGCTGGGAACAAGCAGTGCGAACACATCCTGTTGACAAGTTGTTGGAACAGCATTGCTACAAGTCTGCTGCAGGTTTGTTACAACTTGTGCGTTTTTACGTTTCTACAAGAGGGAACATCTGCTCATGTCCTCTGATGAATTCTGTCTAACCATGCACCTGCCACACCTTGGTGAAGTATAATTCAATTTCTTTGTTTTAGACAAGAAAGCAAAATGGCTGCACATGAGTGATGACGGTACGGTGTGGATTATAACACCTGACGATCAGATTTGGTTTAAACCTCATGTGACCGCGTCGTGTCCAACAGGAAAGGAATGGCACCAAGTGACTCTGGGCCAGTACATCATTGATGACCCATCAATCCTCGAATCAACCTTCAACTTCTTCTCGTCTGTCGGCTCCGCGTATCGGAGTGCTCGAACGACCGAATACCTCCGCCATGCAGCCAAGGGATTGCTTCAGTCCACAAAAGACATGGCTTTCTCGCTATTCAGAGACGGTGGTTCGCCAAAACAGATTTATTGTAATATGCAAAGTGGGGTGTGGCTGTTGGATACAAGAAACACTTTGCACGCATGTCGCGGCCAGGCTACCGGTGCGTACTGGGATATGGTCTGCCCTACTGGTACGGCGAAGTCTGCCACATGGCGTTGTGTTTCAACCGGGCTTGCGGGTTATATCTGGGCGATACAACCCAATGGTGATTTCACATGTTTCCATCCTAAAGGCCCGAGCTATAATGTAGAATGTCCTTCGTCCCGTGTTGTTGATTTCACGAGCGGTTCACCGCACGGACTGTGGTGTTTTGTTACCGAGCAAAATTCTAAAGTTCACATACGAGATGGAATCTCGGCAGAATACCCACAAGGCTTTGCGTGGACGTCGTTGTCCCTTCACCGTCAAGAGATTGGTAACATTAAGCACCTCAGCGTAGGAGCACTCACTGTATGGGCTGTGGACAGTAATGGTCAAGTATGGATAAGAATCGGCAGTATTCGAGGCGATGATGAGGGCAGCGTGCTTGCTCAAGCTTGGTTACCCCTAGATAACCCTAAGCACACAGAGTTTATCAGCGTCGAGGTGAACTGTAACGATTCCATGGTCTGGGCAATTGATGCGAAAGGGGCAGTTTACGCCAGAGACGGTGTGAAGGAAGTCTTCGTTGTCGGCCAACAATGGCGTGAAGTCGAGGGTGTCGCTCTGAAGAGTGTTTGCCTAAGCTCGTATGTGGTCTACGGCTTGTGTATCACCGGCGAAATCGTGTGTAGGTTTGGTGTGTCGGAGGAGAATTGTATTGGCGATTATTGGAAGAAGATTCCTGGCTGTTTCCCGCAAATCTCGGTGAACAGCGCTGGCGAGTTGTGGGCCATCAGCGAGGACGAGAAGTTGTATGCGCGTAAGATGAAATGTTTGGTGTTTTTGAGAGGCGATGGAAAGGAGGGCGAGGGAGAGGGCGTGGTTGATGGTGGCAGTCATGGTGATGGCGATGGTGATGATGGTGGGGACTGGGAATTGATATGAGAAACAGGACGTTTTGATGTAGTGATCATAGAGATTATAAATAACACTAGAGGAGGCATTGTAATCTTAATTCAGTAAAAAAAGGGAACGCGACTATTGGGGGGCAAATTCAAGTCCCGGATGAGTATTCGTGTTCCCATTGGTGACGAGTTTCAAATCAGCCAATGAGAGCACGATTTTATATCCGGGACTTGAATTTGCCCTCCATTAGCTGCGTTCCCAATTCTTAAACTCGATGCCTCCTCTAGTGTTATTTATAATCTCTATGGTAGTGATGTCGCCGTTGACGAACCTTTTATTAGAGACCTTAAGATGGATGGCAAAGCGACGACGGCGGTCATATAAATGATTGTAAAGAAAGCTCATCCCTCGTATTCTTGGGTTTCATATGACGTCACAAAAGTGTTGACGTCACAAAATTGTCAGAGTGAGTCGATTGTTCGTTTTATGTACAAAGCCTTGTGTTTGGTGGCAAATACGTGGAATTTCGTATCATTTTCTCACTCCAGTACAGCATAAGCATCAATACATTTGAGGCTGACCCCCCGTCAGACTCACTGCATAATGCCGTAGTGAAATCCAAGAATATTATCAACCGTATGAATTTAACACAGCTCGAAGAGATCAAAACACAGGCTTTTTACTGAATAGAATTCCACATTATTGTAGTACTGAACCAATTTGCTGGGCATGTACAGTACTTCTTGCGTACTAAAATGCAGACGTTCACAGGACGTAAAAACCATGGGATTTTAATTATTCCTTTCTTTTCTTAAATTTTTTTTATTTCATTGTATTACTAGTCGTCGTCACATTGTCGTCCTAGATCTTAAGGTCTCTCTATTAGATGAACTATGACTGGAACAGTTTTATTAAAGGACTACCACGATTACCCAAATTTATATCGCAGACTGCATATATGTTAAATTTATCAGTGGTAACTATTAGTAATATAGTTGTTGCAGATTTAATACAAATTATTCTTAAAGTTGTTCTGGTTAATTTGAAATGCGCAATTCTTGTTCGATTCATAATACAATCTTACAGCAATGTGCATACAGTCTGATTGCCGGGAGAAAAAAACTTGTTGACTTTGCAAATCTGTTCGTTTCTACATGAAAAATTTTCCGTGTGATTTTCCTTTCAAAGTCAATCGTGCAGTTCAAATGTTAAGCCGTTGTTCACTTTTTCAAAATCACCCAACGGCAATGGTAACATGTAGGAGCGATTCTTCACATTCAAACACAAGACATCGCTCGAGTGTATAGCGACTGAGCACACAACAGCGCACAAAACGAACTCACTTGGTGTCTTGCTTCTAATGGCTACTTTTCAGTTGCATCCATTTCGTCCAGAAAGTGTGTACATTTTGTTTTCATAAGTTTTATAGCTTCACTGACAAGTATCTCAGCGGGCAGGGCTCCGGTTGATTCAACTGAAACTAAAACAGGAAATTGGATGCGATTGTTGATTTTTTTGGTTTCTTAGTTGTATTTTCTATGTTTCTGTTTTACAATAAGCTGCCGTGGTTTATTGAAACATCATCAATAGAATAAGACGGTTAGGCCAAAAAAAAATATGTGGGTTTCCGGTTTCTTCTTATAAAAACTTAGGTAGGGTAGGTCGGTTTTAACTTTTTTTTTTTAAACTTTTTTTTAATTTTCCGAACAAACGGACGCCATTTTGTTTAGTCAGTGCTTCCACATCTAAAGATAAATTTCCCTAATATTGCCTCAAATTTTAATTTTCCACAAACTTTTTCCTCTAAGTGGAAACACTTACAAGCATGATCCAATAAAAAAGTTTAGGGTCGGGATTTCGACGTCCAAAAGCTAGGTAGGGTCGGGAAACCGGAAACCCACATATTTTTTTTTGGCCTTAGGATAGTGTTACTCTGAGTGTGCATCCACACCGGGCATGCTGATAAGTCTGCCTAACCACGGTGGGAATCGAACTTGCGACCTTTGGGATACTATAGTCCAATGCTCTACCAACTGAGCTACGAGGTCAAATCGGTTCGAGTTCGTGACTTCTCGGAACTGAGTCTAGTTCCTTCGATATCAATGTATTCTAAGATATGATTTTTGTGTGTGTTGGTGTTGTGTACTCAGGTGAATATGATGTTTGTGATGTTACTCTGAGTGTGCATCTACACCGGACGAGCTGAAAAGTTTGCCTGACCACGGTAGGAATTGAACCCGACCGATTTGACATCGTAGCTCAGTTGGTAGAGCATTGAACTAGTATCCCAAAGGTCGCGGGGTCGATTCCCACTGTGGTCGGGCAAACTTTGCAGCTTGTCCGATGTCGATACACACTCAGAGTGACATCAGAAACATAATAGATTTCATTATCTATGTTTTCTCTTGGTTTATGCAAGAAATGGCCGGTTCATCGTCACGTGTGTATTGTATTTTCGCTAGAGCAACCGGTAGCAGTGTGTTGGTTTAATTGCCCAGTCGTGATATTACACAATGGTTGAAAGAAAACATACCTATTGGTTGCTCTACAGGATGTATAAAAAAAACTGAACAGATTTGAAATTGCTTTCCATTTCGCAAAACAGCTATTAGTATCCAGTTTTTGATGTATGTAACTTCTTTGGGTACTTATAATGTAGAATAATGAAAAAAATTCTCGAACTGAAATTTTGTGAACGGGGGGGGGGGTCTTTTCCAACAAACTAAAGATGGCTTGCGCACGAAATTTAAAAGCTTTAATCATATTTTGAGTTAATAGACGGAACATTTATTGGGTTTTTAATTACTGTACAAAATTTTAGACAATTTGCTTTAGTTTAAGCCCTTTAGCTATTCATTTTATCTTAAAAAATCAGCCTTTCGCATGCTTAATTAATGCCTTTACCTAATTTGCATATTGCTGACATATGCAAATTAGGCAAAGGCATTAATTAAGCATGCACATAGCTGATTTTTAGGAAAAAATGTAAGTTTGCGTGAATAGTTAAAGGGGCTTAGACTAAAGCAAATTGTCTAAAATTTTGTACAGTAATTAAAAACACAACAAATTTTCCATATTAGCTCAAAATATGATTAATTAAAAGCTTTTAAATTTCGTGCGCAATCCAATTTTAGTTTGTTGCAAAAGACACCCCCCCCCCCGGTTCACAAAATTTGAGTTATA